GTAAAGCTCCCTCTACACTGTCCCCCCATCAACCACTCCCAGGACAGGGACAGCATGGGATTAGATACAGAGTAAAGCTCCCTCTACACTGTCCCCCCATCAAACACTCTCAGGATAGGGACAGCACGGGGTTAGATACAGAGTAAAGCTCCCTCTACACTGTCCCCCATCAAACACTCCCAGGGACAGGGACAGCACGGGGTTAGATACAGAGTAAAGCTCCCTCTGCACCCGTTACTGAGTTGAACTTTGGGTGAGTTTCAGAGTGGACTCTGGTGCGGGACGTTGCTCTCTCTCTCTCTCTCTCCCAGCCCCACATCCCGAATCCCCGGTTACTCACTGTAAGAACAGTTTATCCCCCACTGCGTCTCGGATACGTTGGAAAGCCTCCTCCGTTGCCTGAATGGCCACTTGAGCTGCCTCTGAGTGAAGATAACCGTGAGAGGAGCCCAGGTCGTCTTTATTAATTCCTCCCCTGGGTATGGACTGACTGTCTGAGTCAAATGTTCCCCCGTGACTACATTTCCCTGTAACCGCAGCGAGAAACAACAAGTGTCAAAAACCTTGGTTTGAGCGTGAGAGAGAGAAAAACTCCCAAACCAGCAGGAGGGTTCTGGCTGTTCTCGCGCACGAAACACAAAAAAATTAGCATGCAGATACAGTCGTACAGAAACAGACCCTTCGGCCCCACCAGTCCATGCCGACCATAATCCCAAACTAAACTAGTCCCCACCTGCCTGCTCCTGGCCCATATCCCTCTGAACCTTTCCTATCCATGTCCTTATCCAAATGTCTTTTAAACGTTGTAACTGCACCCACATCCACCACTTCCTCAGCAAGTTCATTCCACACACGAACCACCCTCTGTGTAAAAAGTTGGTCCTTCATGTCTTTTTAAAATCTTTTTCCTCTCACCTTAAAAAAACCTGCCCCCACTAAGTTTTGAAATCCCCCCAACACTTGGGAAAAGATTTTTGCTATTCACCTTATCTGTAACCCTCCTGATTTTGTAAACCTCTGGAATGTCACCCCTCAGCCTCTGACGCTCCAGTAAAACAAACCCCAGCCTCTCTTTATAACTCAAACACTCCATTCCCGGCACATCCTGGTAAGACTCTTCTGAACCCTCTCCAGCTTAATAATCTCCTTTCTGTAACAGGGCGACCAGATGCATTGTAATTAAGCGAACAACCGGGACTTGTGGTCTTTATCGGGAGGGGGGTTAGAGTTGTAAAACAGGGTAGTTTTTTACAGTTACACAAGGTGCTGGTGAGGCTGTACCTGGGTTACTGGGTTTGGGATTATGGTCGGCACGGACTGGTTGGGCCGAAGGGTCTGTTTCCGTGGTGTATGAGTCTTTCGTGCATCTTGTGGAAAGGCTTCCCATCCCGCCTAAAGATCAAGGGCCCAGAACTGGACACAACCCTCCAGCCCAGGCCGAGCCAGGGTCTTGTATAAGTTGATGGTAACTGATCCTATCCCAAAAGTTGCCGTCCTGCTCTCTATTCCGAGAGTCCAAGCATTCTCCTAGGACTTGAGGAGACGTAGTTAGTGCTGACGGTCTCGTCGAGTGGAATTTTTCCGAAGGTTTTGTGAATTTCCCTACAAATTTCGGCAGCACATTCCAAACTCGCTGGAGAGAGAGAGAGCGAGCTAGGAGCAGGCCATTCAGCCTTCCGCATCCCCTCATATCCCAGCCTCACCTTTGGGTTTTCTGTTGATGAAGGGGATGCCGTAGTATCCGGAGGTGAGGATTTTCCTGGATTTGATCGACTCCAGGATGTTATTGAGACAGACGGAGGTCTCACAGTCGCTGCATGTTGGTTCATCTTTCGCTGAAAGGCACAGGGAGCGGAGACTCAGTTCTCAGCCACATCTACCCCAAACAACCCCAACACCTACCCTCCCCACAATATCCCCTCGAGGCTGGGAGGCCAAGGGTCTGGCCCTGACCTCCCTCGAGGCTGGGAGGCTGAGGGACTGGCCCCGCTCTCCCTGCTCCTCAGCCCCCCAACACCACCCACAAACACCGACACCCGCAGAAAGTCTGTCAGGGGTTTGGGAGGCCAATTGAAACTGTCAAAACTGGGCTGGGCTCTTTTATTTTGGCTGGAAGAGGGGGCTGCATGGCCTCCTGTTCCTGTGTTACAGGCTAGGAGGAGAGGGCTGAATGGCCTCCTGTTCCTGTATTACAGACTGGAGGAGGGGGGCTGAATGGCCTCCTGTTCCTGTGTTACAGACAGGAGGGGGGCTGAATGGCCTCCTGTTCCTGTGTTACAGACAGGAGGGGGGCTGAATGGCCTCCTGTTCCTGTGTTACAG